GAAGGCTCCGGGCATTCGGAAGGCTCCGGGCATTCGGAAGGCTCCGGGCATCTGCAGTTGTGGTGGGTGGCACCCACACCCCGTGGGCTGGGTCATCTCGTTGGTCCCGATTGGCTGCTGACACCTGTCCCCATGCCCCCAGGAGACCTCGGGTCCACATGTTGCCCCAGTTCCTGCGCAGGACAGAGGTCTACAGGGTGTGAGTCCCAGTGGGAGTGGGAGTTCCTGGAGACAAGGAGTGGAGTCTCAGCCACTGATGAGGGGCCTGCATGCCCGCGCTCAGCCTGCAGGTGGCTCGCCCCCAAGCGCCCTTCGGAGTCAGCACTTCGGTTTTCATCTCTGCTTTCCCGCTCGGAAATGTTGATGGAGCGTCATAATTTCCTGTCGTACCTGGAGGATAAACATGATTGGGGCTATTACGGGCCAGTGGCGAGCAGTGAGCGGAGCCCTGCTGAGTGGGACTGGCGACTTAGGGCTGATTGCCATCGTGACCTGGAGCCACCCAGATGCGTCAGCGCACGCAGGCTCGGTGTGCTGTGTAGACTGAGGGATTCTAAACCACGGCCGCTTGGTAGTGACTGACAGCCCACCGGGGCGCCCAGCCTCTGCGTGTGGAGGCCCGGCACCTGACCAGGTGCGGTGTGACCTCTCAGCTCCTTTCCTTTCCATGGCATTTGCATCAGGGTTTGCTGAAACTGGCTGCTCCTTGAACGCTGTCTCTGCCCTTAGTAAGCGGAACCTTCCAGAGGAGACACTTACTCTGGAGCACCAGGGGCCCTGCTTCCCTGCGTCCTCACGGCCAGCACCGCCTCTGAGGTTGGGGTGGCGGAGCAGAGGAGGATGGGAGCCCGCGGGCGAGCCTGAGTGGCCGGGGACGTGGGCAGCACCTCCTCGGACTTTGGCCGCAGAGACTTGTTTCCAAGTGCCTCGCAGTGCTGGCCTTTCTGTTTTCGTTTTAGGTGAGAGAGGAGGTGAGAGAGACGTGGAGAGTCTCTGACAGGGTCTCACCATGTTGCCACTGGCCTGCCCAGCCACCAGCCAACCAGGATGATAGCATGCACCACCGGGCCCAGCCTGTTTGGGCTGGTCTGGGGACCGAACCTGGGCCTCCCTGTGGTTCCAGCTGCCCACAGTATTGCCCTCGGCCTGAGCTACTATGTGGTCACAGGGAGCTCACTCAGGCAGGTCCAGGGCAGCAGGTCGGGCCAGGCAGGCCAGCCTGGCTCTACAGTTCTGTGCGCATGGGCGTCTGGGCACCGCGTCCCCACATGCTAGCATCCCCTGGAAGCAGGAAGGCTGTCCCCTCCTGTGGCCCTTTCTTAGACGAGAGGGTCCGTCTGCCAGAACCCTCTTTC